GGTTGAGGGGAGGGTGAGTCATTAGGGAGTCGTGCTGCGCAGGACTAGGAGGGTTCTAATCGATGGGCTCATGTTATATTTATCAGCCACAGTACTTAGGCGCTACCCTGAGAAGGACTAATGGGCTCCCCATTGGAGACGCCATTACAGGAAGTGCAGGGGGGAGGGGCGAGGTGCTGAGAGGAGATGGGGACCTGGCAAGGTCTGCTCCTGGCAACATTCGCTCCCAAGCCCCTACCACCCTGACTGCAACGCTGTTGGGATTGGAGGCGGTAGCCATGAAGTATGCACACGGTACTAATCCCCTTTGCCCCACTGTCTGACTTCAAGCCATCAAGAGTCTTGAGCCAGCGGGTGATCCCAGTTACTCCTCTTCCTCCCCTTCTACCCAGTCTTTTCCTCTACCCTTTCTGGTTCTCCAGACAGAAGATGTTCTGGCCACCCTTCTCTCTGAATGACAGGGATGTGAGCCAAACAAGTGGCTCAGCCTTTTCTGGGGAGGAGCTGGCTGTGGTTGCCATGGTGATAATTCAGGGCGGTGGTGGGGGCATCTAGCTATTTTTTCTAACAGTCTTAATTGCTCATTTATTTAGGGCAATTAGTCCCCAGCGTCCCTCCCTTCCTTGACCCCAGCAAAGGCTATTCTCAGCTCCCATAGCATTCTACCCAGATGGGGTGGAGCCTTGTCCGGAGTGAATGGGGTGGGGTGGGGTGGGAGGAGGTAGGGTGGGGGACCGAAGGAACTGCAGTCTGAGAATCCACAGTTAGAGGATGACCTGGTCAGATCTTGTCCTGTCACTAACCCAATGCCCTCTGACTTCCCTTGACCCATTCAGTTTCTTGGGTGGACCCAGCCTTCCATACACTCCTCAGTCTTTGGACAGCAGCAAATTCCTCCAATGGCAACACTGTCCTCCCTGCCCAGTCAGTCAGGGCCATGTGGGATCTGCTTCCTTCCTACAGACAGCTGTTCCAGTTGTCACAGGCTTCAGGGAGCCCCTGTCTATCCTCCTGTGCTGTGTCGCACTGGGTAACGCTAGGATTCTCTAACCCTGGCCTAATGTCCCCTGATAAGTTTCAGCATCGTCTGCCTAGACAACTGGTCCAGGCTGTTAAACCTGACTTTGCCCCAAGTATGAGACAGAACAGGATGTGGTCCCAGGGCCCATCTAGGAACATCACATTGCATTTACAAGACCCTGCCCTGGCTTTTCTCTAGGCCCTATTCTTCCATCCCAGGGCCTCTCTGCTCAGTTAGGCCCCACAGTCCCTGGATGGAGGTGCTTTTGCCAACATGGGGAGCAGATCCTGGAGGTCTCTTTAAAGCCCTCCCCACTCTGATGTAGTTGGGGCTCACCAGTTTTCTGAGGAGCCTTTGGTCTAAAGTTAGAGCAGCAACCAGAACCTCTTCATTTTTTTTTTCCTTTTGAGTTCTGAAGCACTTTTTGGGCCAAGCCACATTTGTGCCCGAAGCTCCTTGTGAGGAAGGGCTGTGCACTTCCTGGAGACTATTTCTCAGCCCCACTCTGGGCCTTACTGTACTCTCTTCACCTCCTCTGGTACCTACCGTATTAGCCACCTTCCCTTTGAGGGTATCTCCCTGTGACCTGGAGGAAGTCCTTGGGAGATGGCCAGGGCTTGGGGAGAGAGAATGCAGGCAGCCAGTCTAGACTCAGCCTTGATGTTTCACTGGTTATAGGACAAAGAGAGCCATGTTGGGGGTGACCTCACCCCTTGGGCATCCTCTGCTGGACAAAAGGCCGGTTGTTCTCTGGCCTGGAAGCAGGAGGCAGAGATGACACTGTGGTCCTGTGACCCTCGTTAGAGCCCTGCTCTACACCCAGTGCAGCCTGGCTCTGGGAGGCCTAGCTGAGGGAAGCCACCATTCCATCAAGAGAAGACGTGAGAAATGCCCAAAGACCCTTGGGTGCTCTCCTGGGGGTCTGACTTCAATCAGGACAGTAAGCACCCTACCCAACAGTGGGCAGTGCAGGGGGCTCAGGGGCCTCTCTGCTTGCTGCTTTCCAGCATTGGCCTGGAATGGGGCTTTCTTTTCCTTCTCTTTCCCAAGACAGAAGTGAAGGAGTCCTTCAGATGAACTTCCTTGGGGAAGTGGTGAGATTTGGGGAAGGTGGTGTGGGCCAGAGACTGCCCAGCCCAGTCCTCATCCCCAGCTTCAGCCCTCTGTGCCTTGCTCCTCCTTCTCCCCATCCCCACCTGTCTCTGAAAATGATCCTCACCTCCCTCTTCCTGGCCCCTCCCCTAGGAATCTGACGTCACTATTCCAGCTTAATTTACAACCCCCTCCGTCCCTCTGTCAAGGTCCTCCTTAGGTATTGTCAACATCCTTTCTCTAAGAAGTTTCTAAGGGCAGGGATCCTATGTTGCCACCTGAGAACCTCACTTCCTCCTTGCTCCAGCAAGGCCTTGTGGGAGGGGCCTTAATGATGACAAGCATGGAAGACCATCCATGTGCATGTATGTCCAATAGCCAGCCTTCCCAAGAGCCATCACTCTGAGCTGAGAGTCCCCATGGGTGGGGCCAAGTGCAAAGAAGGTGGGGGAAGGGACTGCCTTCCAGATGTTGTTGGAAATCTAACACAACCCCTCCCCACCTCCTTCTCCCACTTCCCGCTCCATTTCCCCTAAATATTTACTGATTTTTTATTTACATTCTTTGCCCGAGGTGCCCAGACCCTGTCAGGTCCCATTTGCTTGCCCGTCCCCTCCTGCCAGCTCCCTTCCACATCCCTCACATCTGGAGCCAGCAGTCCTGCGGAGCTGGTCACAACCCCCCCTCAGTTCCGAGGGAAAAGGGGAGGGGAGACCAGTGGATTGGTAGCTTTGGGCAGGGCTGGGGTGGGAGAGGCTCTGGGACAGGGGCAATTCACAGGCATGCTTGGCCTGCCCCAATCTGGGATCGCTTTAATCACCCCCTTTGTTTCACGAGGACTTCTGGATGGGGTTGATGGATGCCAGATGCTGGGAGCACCCTTACCCTAGGAGGACTCCAGAATGAAGGAGGGAGGAAGGGCAGAGAGTGAACCTCCACTGAACTGACAGCCAGGGATCCAATTCTGTTCCTGGCATATGGGGGCAGAATTAGGGTTGCTGCCCTTGTGAGTTTGCTTCCTTCCAGCTGAGCGGGGACCTGCTAGGAAATCACGTATTCCTCTCCACTCCCAGTTCCCAGCCCTTTGACTGACACCTTCCATGGGACAGGTACTGTCCGGGGTGCTGATGTCTGCCAATCAGCGGACGATCTCCACTTCCGAGGGAGTAAGTGATTGAACGAACGTTCCAGACGGTGCTTCTGTGGTGGAAAGGCCACACAGACGAGGGAAATGGGGAGGGCTGGAGTAGCTAAAGTGTGGCATTACCTGACAGAATCAGGGGTTCACACAGCGGAGTCTCAGGGAGGCCAGGAGAGAGCTGCGGCTTTGTAAGGAAGCTATAGCCTCAGGTACATGGGGACCCCACAGGCTCTGGTGCCCGGTGAGAGGGCAATGGAGGAAATGGGTGCGGGGTGGGGGGAGGTAGCCGGTTCTCTAAGTGAGGGAGAGCCCCTAGAGCAGTAGTTCTCAACCTGTGGGTCACGTCCTCTTCCGAGGGCTTAACGCCATTTCTCAGGAATCACCTAAGACCACCCGAAAACACAGATATTTACACTACAATTCATAACAGTAGCAAAATAGTAGTTATGAAGTCTCAATAGAAATAATCTTATGGTTGGGGGTCACCACAGCATGAGAAACCAAATTAAAGGGACAGGGTGTTAGGAAGGTTAAGAAACACTGCTCTAGAGGATGCTGGGTGACCTCAACCAGGCGTCTCAGGGCACAGAGTAACTCCCACCTCCTGTACACTCTTTTCCGCACTGGTCCCACTGTTTCCGTGATCTTCTGCTTTCTGTTTCTCAGCCACCCTGGAATATGGTTCTCCTGATGGTGCCTCTGAGTTTGGACTGTTTCCATCCAGGCCCACCTGTGACCTATAAAGTTCCTCTACCCCAAGAAGTCCCCTGGGACTGCTCTGAGGAACCAGTCTGGCTGTGTCTAGACAGTAGACACTCATTTTTTCTCTTAATTTTCCAGAGCAGAGAGAGATGGTGCTGCCTGCATCCTCCCTGCTTGTCTCCCACAAACCTTCCTCCTGCCATCCTGAGCTTCTCAAAGATTCTGTCTTCCTTTCTTTCCTCTTTCCCATTCACTCTCCACCCCCTGAAAAAACGGTCCGAAGATTCCACTTCTCCCCTCCAAGATGGCTTACGACGGGGCCATTTCAAAGGTGCAAAGGCAACAAGTCCTGGGCTCCTGGGACCTGGATGCCTAGAAGGACTCACAGCAAGGCGGCTGTGTGTGTGTGGGGGGGGCGTTCAATGCACTAACGGTTCTGGCTGGCTACCCAGGAACCCTGTCTTTAAGTAGTAGTAACTAATGACTGGCCCAGGACAGAGGTGGGATTCTTCTTCCCTAGCTGCCTCTGAGAGCTAACCTCTCCCTACCCACAGGAGCCCAAGGCTCTGGAGACCAAGCTGGGTGTCTTTCCCCTGAGTACATCACTCATTCGAGTTTTGCTCCTTCAAACAGTTATTCATCGAGCATCCTCTGCATGCTGGAAACTGTGCTGGCCTGGGGACACTGAGAAAGCAACACGGTCTTGGCTTCTACCCATGTACAGCCTGCAGCTCAGTGGAAAGCAGATGTCAATCAATTAAGTCCACAACTGGAATCAGAGTGACAGCCTGGATCAGTGGGGGAAAAAAAGATGGATCTGTGCAAACACTCAGATCTCAGATCTGGCCAGCATGAGGAAGTTGGAAGCTTTGTCCAAGGAATGGATGCATGAGATGAAACCTGAGGGGATGAGGGAGAAGACAAGCAGAGGGGACGGTATCTTCATGGGTGCTGAAGCAGAAAGAAGTATATGCAAGATGCTGGGAAGAGATGAGGCTGGAGGCAGAGAACGGGGGACAAGTAAAGAGAGAGTCGGGCAGAAACTGGCTGGACAAGCTCTTCTGCAGCAGGTTGAATACCTAGTTTAGGAACAGAGTCTACAGAGCAGGGTTAGGAAAATGGGAAGATCACTAGGGGGCCAAGGCAGGGGTCCAGATGAGAGTTGGCTTGAGTCCTTGGCTTGAAGCAGGGGAGGTAGAGAGCTGGGTTGTTCCAGAGTGTGACCTCAAAGGAAAGGGGAGCCGCTCCACTTTCTTCTGTCCACAAATGAGTCTATGGAGACCTTCTCGTCCTCCAGAAGACTTTGCAAGCAGCCGGAGAAGCAGCGTAGCTCACCCACTCCTGCCAGCCAGTTCCACTGTGGTTCTAGCCCGAATCTTTCATACATACGTCCCTTCCCAAACCTGGAAAACAGAACATGTGCACCTCAGTTTGGCTGAGGTCAGACTGCTTGCTGCCAACAGGCCTAGAGAAGCATCAGCAAAACCAAGAAACAGAATGGAGGAGGAGATAGATTCTGTGAGGGGCGCCATTTCTGGAATGCAGCAGAGGCTGTAAACTCTTTGTGGAGCAGTTCAGGATGCAGAGAGCAAGTGTGGTCCAGGAGGTAGGACATCCCACACTGGTCTTCAAAGGAGCCTGAGCACTCTGAGTCTGCATTCGTGTCTTGGCAGCCCCTGTACTTCTGGGTCCAGCTCTGTGGGAGAGAGTACACTCAGGACTCGGAGTGACATGCAGAGAGGTACTAGGGTACCAGGGTACTCAGAGGTACAGGGAGTTCCAGGCTAGAGGCACTGAGAGGGCTTCCTGGCAAGAGGAAGAGGCAGCAGCTGCAGCAGCCGTGGTGGTGGCAGCCAGTGTTGAGAGTAGCTGAAGGGATTCCGCATCTGTCGGTCCTCTCTGTGACTGGGGATGCATTCATCTAAGCCGCGAACTAGTTGGGTGCTGGGTGATATCACACACCTCATCCTATTCAGCATCTCCCTCCAGGATCTCACTGTCATTTTTCAGGCAGAGAGAGAGAGAGAGATTGTGGGCACCACCCTGTGCTAGCCCTGGGAGAGCTGGCCCTGGTCCTCACTGGCCACTGAAGCAGAAGAACTGGTCCTACCCCTTACAGGAGAGCTGGCCCCACACTCAGGAGAGATGGCCCCACCCCTCACCCTGGGTATGGGAGAGCTGTCCCCATATCATGAGGTATAGAAGAGCTAGCTCTGTCCTTGCTTGATGAGGCAGTCCAAATGGCCTGGACTGACTAAATCAGCTACCACCCAAACCCGTATCTATGGCTTTGAGGAGGCCCACCCCAACATCTACCCCAGCTATTACCTGCTGGAGTGCATGAAGGGACTGGTCCTGTGGAATCACAGCCATACGATCTCCATGAGTCGGGACAACAGCAGAATATGCAAGAGGAATTTCGGTGAGAGTCCAGTACCGATGGTGTACCAGAAGCCAGAGGCCTCGAGCCAGACCAACAACTCATTGTAGCAAATATTGTGTGACACCCCGCAGCTCCCAATGCCACTGAGACAGTGAAGAGGTGTGGGAGAGGCGGGAAAGATGGAGGTGTGAAGTGGTTTGTTTATTTTATTTGTTTTCACTTAATATTTTTAAATTTTTCTTTGGCGGGGAGAACATTACAGGGGTAAGGGACTGGGAAATGAGCAGAATTGGGGTACATGATGCAAAATTCCTAAAAAAAAATCAATTAAAAAATGTTTTTTTTTTTTTTTAAAAAAAAGCCTGCCTTGTTTTCTGAGAGCCTTCCGTGTACTAGGAACACAAAGTCAAGATCTCTACAGAAACATCATTTAATCCCCAAAAGCCTACCAGGAAAATGTGATGGCTCTTCTCACACTACAGACACTTAACAAGGACAAATAGTTGCCCAGGTCACACAAACAAGCTGTTAGGATTGGGACTCACTTCTTGTCCCCTGAGCCCAGGAGTCATCTCCTTGGGGCTGCCACAGCCATTCAGTCTGCACCCTGAAGTCACCCTTGCTACATGGCACTGTCTGTGTCTGTGGTGCCATAGACTGCCTTCCTTGAATGTAGGAGCTGTGACAAGTCACTTGGTGTCTACTTGTCCCATAATAGGAATGCGGCTAGTACTGGGTAAACAAGGATAAAAAATTACAGAAGAAAGGTTCATGGGGTCCCCACACAAAACAATAAAGTTTCGTTTCTTTTCTTTTCTTTTCTTTTCTTTTCTTTTCTTTTCTTTTCTTTTCTTCTCTTCTCTTCTCTTCTTTCTTTCTTTCTTTCTCTTTCTTTTCTTTCTTTTAAATTGTTTTTTGTTGCACTATACACTTTTCTCCACTCCTCAACCTTTCCTCCCCTCTCCCCTTTCTTTATTCCAAAGCCTGTATCATTAGTGATGAGTTAAGAATTAGTCACCAGCCAGGCTTTGTGGTGCACACCTTTAAACCCAGCACTCGGGAGGCAGAGGCAGACAAAACTCTGTGAGTTCTAGGCCAGCCTGGTCTACAGAGTCAGTTTCAGAACAGACAGAGAACTACAAGTGAGATCCTATCAAAAAAAAAAAAGAAAGAAAGAAAAAAAAAAGAAAAAGAAAAGAAAGAAAAAGAAAAAGGAAAAGAAAAGAAAAGAAAGAAAAAGAAAAGCCAACCAGCCAAACAAACCAAAGAATTAGTCACTGAGTGCAGCCAAAACTAACTGCCACAAGTTCAGTGACACTCGATTTCTCGGGTGAGTTCACAGGTCAGAGGTCTGTGTGGTAGGTAAGAAGTGGATAGACCATTGCTTATCTTCCTTGTTTGAGGTTTGCCTTGCTGCCTTGGCGCATGACTCCTGTTGCACATCAGTCCGCCCCTACTTCTGACTCCAAGACTCACCTCTCTCTTTTCCTGGTTGGGATCCTAATGGTTATTGTATGGCTCACCAGGACACCCCAGAACAAGCTCCTGGGCTCGAGATCCTTAATTTACACACCTTCCATATACAGTTGTAGCTTCCAGACATTAGGATGTGGATCTTTCCAGGAAAAAAATATTCTGTTCATATCCTGGATACTGAGAATAGGACCAGTGTGGACAAAGGAAGTGAGCCCTTTGCCTGGTCACAGTTTCTTCATCTGTCTATTGTCAAGGACAGAAAGCTACAAGAATCCCAAAGTCCTCGCTGGGGACAGCCTGTGGTTCCAAGAGCTATCTTTGAAGCAGTAGGGAATGGGGTCAGACCACAAGAGGATGATTTTGCTGTGGGTGACACCTGTTCACTCCACCCTCACTGTTAACCCAGACTGCCCCTCAAATCTCCTCAGCTCTCTGTAGCCTTCTGTCCCTGTGTCTGAGGCCTCTCCATGAGGCCAGGACAAAGAGTCCTGGGTACCCCAATACCATGATAATCTGGCTCATTAGGGATATAGGAACCCCTCAAGTTCTCATGGGGGTGCCTTAGTAAAGATAGGGCATAAGAACTCAAAGAAGCGTGGCTGTTTAGCCAGGCATGGTGGTGCATACCTTTAACACCTTTAATCCCAGTGCTCAGGAGGGAGAGGTGGGCTGATCGATCTCTGAGTTCAAGGTCAGCCTGGTCTCCAGAGCGAGTTCTAGGAATCTAGATCTATGTAGAGAAACCCTATCTCGAACACCTTCCAAAAGCGTGGCAGCTTGATCAGAGAGAAGATGCCTTCGTGCAGATGTGACACAGAGTGTTCTCGAGGACAAAAATTGGCTAGAATTTTGGAAACAAGGCTGGAGAATTCATTGTGGGGCAGCCAGTGAAGGGAGCCAGGAGGAAGTGGAGGCCCATCCTGGAGGCCCTGCAGGGGCCACCCCAGGAGCTGAGAGGGAAAGCAGGTGTGCGTCAGGGCAGCCGGAAGACAGCAATGGACTCTGTGTCCAGCAGGGCCTGGGGGAATGGCGTGGGGGAAGATGCACCTCGCTCCTCTCATCTAGCCGCTCCTCCCGCCCTGCCCTCCACTGCTGCTCCCCTAGAGCCTTGTGGAGACTTCTTACAGGAGAGGCAGATGTTTCTGGATGCAGCTGGATACTGAGGTCCAGGGAAGGGGCTGGCCCCTTTGGGCTTGGAAGAGTTATGGAGAAGAAGACAGTACAGGAAATGAGGGCTCTCTAAGTGGGGGCTTATGTACCAGCTGATCCTTACAGCAACTAGGAAAGCAAGTGTTGGTCCATTTTACAGACAAACCAACTGAGGCTCAGGGTGGCATCTTTTCTACTTCTGAGATTGCCTGCCTCCTCACCTCCATCCCATGCTTCATCCAAACCCCTCCTTCCTTTTTTTTAGATCCTCTGTCCTCCCTCGCCTCTTCCAGGAAGCCCACTGAGGCGTTCATCCATCATTGCCCTGCGGTGACTGTCCATCTGTTTAGACTGTTGGCCAAAAGAATCCTACCTCCTTGTCATCCACCTGAGAGCACATGGGAACAGAGACTTGCCCTTCCATTGAAGCTCTCGCCAGGCCTGAGGTTGCCAGCATGTGGAAAGGAGCCATACGTCTCCAGTGCAGGCACCGGGCATGGTGAGAAGACCAAAGGTAGCTGCCAGGGAGTCCCAGATGAGGTGAGAGACTTGGCTCGCCCCCAGCTCATAAAGAAGGATGTTAACAGCCTTCCAGGGAGCTGGCCAGGGACGACCAAAGGAGTGGGTCAGACTGAAGTGCCTTCCAGCGTTGGGTCAGCACTGGCACCTCCTGCCCCGGCGCAGCTCCTGCTGGTGAATAGTTTGTCCCTCCTCCCTCCTCTCCCCAACCCCCCACCCCAGAACTCCTTTAGACCCCACACAGGGTCTGTCTTTCCTCCCTTCCCAGGACCCCCAGTGTCTGTTGTTTGCCTCCTGTGGGATGGGTGTGGGTTACTATGGCGTCACTGGGTGATGAGGAGGGACAAAGGGTGGGAGGTCTGGCCTGGCCTCCCACAGTCTCTTTCCACCACCCTAAATTGCCAAACCAGGACCTGAGAGAGAGGCTGGAGGACTGTGCTGTGGGAAACCAGGAAGCAGAGAGGCAGGGGCCACGCGGAGGGGGAAGACATGGAGAAAGCCAGCATGGAAGGAACCCAGGATCTGGGAGCAGAGGGATCAGAAGCAAGCTTGTCTCTCTGTGGGGTGCCGAAGGGACACCTGTGTGTGGACTCCCAGGGATGTCTGAGGACACACTCAGCTTTTCACAAGCGGAGAACAGAGGCTTAGAGGCAAGGAGGGAAGTGCTCGCCCACAGCTGCACGAGGACTGGAGCCCAAATCTAACTGAGATTGGGAACGGAACGAGAGGCTGTTTTCAGTACCATGATGTGTCCCTCTAAACACAGGCAATGAATCTGTACACACGTACATTTTCACTGCCCCCCAAATTCTCCTCACCTTTCTCCCCAAGATTCTAATGTCAGGCCTTTGTTTTGTATTTTATTCCCTGAACCCTCGTTCTCCCAGGACTTTGTTGAGCTTAACCCTGGATCAACGCTGAGGAAGGGTACAGAAAAGATACTACACTCCCACACCATTTATTTCCTGGGAGCCTTGTCCCACAGGCCTTTCCTCTGTCTCCTGCCTCCGGCCAGCTGGCCAGCCGGCCACACCATTGATTTTCACAATTATTGACTCTGAAAGAACCACCCCCTCCTGGTATGTCTACCCTGACCTACTCCCCAAACCCTCCTCATTTTCTGGGGAGTCACCTCTTAGGAGAACTTTTGTCTGCCCTGGACAGATTTGACTCTCTCTTCTCTCACCTCAACACAGGCCTCACAGTGCCTGCGCTAGTTCACAAAGTCCCCAGTCCATAATATACCCATAAGCTCCAGAGCTTCGGGAAGCTCAGAAGCAAGAACTTTCCGCCCCATTTCACAGATACGTGTAAGGAAACAGGTGAGCGGAACAACAGGGACTCGTCTCTAACTTGACTCCACTTTGAAACCCATGTGGCAGTCCATCTGGTGTCCGGATCAGACAGATGTGAGTCCAAGGGCTACATAGATCACAGCCAACTTCGGGAACAGCTTAGTGGGACTCCGATCTCTGATGGTTTCAACGGGGGAGGTTGGTTCCCCTGAGTCCTTTATTGACCATCTTAAATGTCTCAGGTCACAGGAAGCAGAGGTCAGCACGTCCTGGGCCTCGTCACAGGCCTCTCAGCAAAGCGCTAGATGGTCAGCTGCTAACTGCTGAGAAGCGTGAAAATGCTAGCCCAGCAGTCTGCTGTATCCTGTCATCCCATCCTGCTGGGGAGGGCAGGGCCAGCTTCCCGGAGGAGATGCTGTTTAACTGATCTTAGTTGATCATGGAAAGACAAGATGGTTTGCTCGGTGGGGGTGAAAAGAGGATGTCAGGGCTGACGGCAAGGGTAAAAGCCTATAGTATGTTCTAGGCAAGGCAAGGAATCCCATGAGGCCAGTAGTTCACTGAACTTTGACAGGAAGGAGCCAGAGATGGGTCTAGAAAGGTGTTTTAGGCCCACCATGACGGTCTTTTAGTATTTCACCTTAAAAGCGGTGGGAGGTCAACCTGCTTAAGGTAGGAAGCAACGGATGTGGGATCAAGGATGTACAAGATGCAGGAAGGAAGTGAGTGATAAACCCCCAGATCTGGTGGGAGACTGTAGGAATCTCCTAGGCAAGTGGGGTGCAGAGTCCAAGTGAACACACGGCTAGACAGTTAAGAACCCAACAAAGGACCAGTTTTATAATGAAACTGCACACTCACAACATGCCTGGTCCACCGTGAAAGAGGAAGAGCAGGAGATGAACTATCCCCATGTTGCTGGTTTGGGCAGCCTTCAGCTAACTCTTGTCGAAAGAGAGAAGCCAGCTGGGAGCAAGGGATAGCCAACTCCAATTCCATCACCTTGTTAGAGGTCCCATGGGACAGCTGGGTGGAAGGTCAAGCCGGTAGCTAGCGGAACGAGGCAGAGTTCAGGAAGGAATTAGGACTGAGTGGCTCAGAATTTACCTGCTCAAGAGCTGGAGTCAAAGAGATCTGTGTTCAAACCCAGTACTGTGTGTTACTGTGACCCCGAACAAGTCCCTCAGTTTCTTCTCATCTCATCTATGATACAGGAGAAGGGAGGAGTAATAGGAAGACCCAGACGGTCTTTGGAGAACATTTGTCACATGGAATTTCAATTACATCCTGCTGGGTGTGGTGCCCACCACTGACCAGACCGGAAGCTTCCACTGGCTACAGGTCACATCACTGCAGAGAACCCCCCAAGGACTCAAGGAAGCATTTGCTCCAGGCACTGGTTAGCTGACAGGGTATTATAATCCACCCCCTTCCCGGATGAACTAGATCTCCAATAAGACTCTCTGTCAGTGCTGAGGCCATTTCCGAAGTCCCACTCAGGACTCATGTTTCCGGTGATCAAAGGAGCCAAGCCTAGCTCTCCACCTGGAAGACCAATGTAAGTACTACCAGGCCTACTCTAGGCCTGGTTAAGGGTCTTCTGTTCTGTGCTTCTGTTAAGCCAGTAGGCTGGCAAGGTGAGGCTAGAGGTGGGAGGGTCCACACCAAGAAGTGTCCAGTGCTCCCGTTCCATTCAAATTATATGCAAATGACTCAAAGCATTTGTTCTTGCCTCTTCAGTCAGGGTCTTCTCAGCTGTTCTGTGTGGGAGGGGCTTTGGAAAGGAGTAGTCCATCCAAAGGGAAGCAGCACCCCCACCAGGGCCAGGACCCCACTTTGGGGGAGGGTGCAAGCCAGGGAACTAATGGGCCCATGATTCATTGCCCAGCTCTTGTCTGCACTAATTGGTTCTGCTGGCCTACTGATTCATGGCAAGGAGCTGGGCTCTGGGGGACCCCTGTGTCCCTCCCCCCACTCCTCCCTGCCTCCTGCTCAGGATGGCTGTGTGAGGCTTTTAGATCCAGGATCTGTTCCAAGGGACCACTGCCCAGCATCCATCACTGCTGACAGACTGAGGCTCTTGGGTGGGGGCAGGGATGACAGTTCCGAGCGGCCATCTGATGCTGTGGACCCCACCTAGGTACCTCAGTCGCTGGGGTGTGTGTGGAAAGGTAGCTGGAGCCCTGGCTGGGTGCTATGAAGGGACCCAGAGAATAATGGTAGCTATGAGTAGTGGTAATTTTGGTGGTAGTTGGCTTGCAGGTGAAAATACAGGAGGGGTCTTGGGGGCAAGAAAAAAGATTTGGGTAAAGACTTGACACAGAAGCCTCTGGGCTGGGAGAGGGGAGGTGACCCTGGGGGCTGAGAGTGCCCGCAAGGCATTCTGAAGCACTGACTCAAGCTGCTGCTGAAGGACCTAAGGCTTTGTTTGAGACACTGCTTGCTGTGTGACCTTGTATAATCACTGGTTCAGTCTGAGCCTTCCAAGCATAGGAGCTGCCACAGAAGACAGTGAGTCCCAGGCACAAGCCCTCTTCGTAGTCTCCCTGACAATACCTAGGTCCTCTGTGCTGTCTGTCATTCACTCCATCCCAGAATGACAAAAGATGTCCACCGGTACCAGCCCTCCTGGGTACAGGGATGGGTAGGATCCCCACTTTCCTCTGGACCACCTCAACACACAGATTGATTTTCAGGTTTGTCAAGCCCCCAGGGTCTTCCATCACATTAGAATGAGCATATGAGACCACGCCCACTTATCTGGAACCAGGTAGGTGGGCTTTCCACTCCCTCTTTCAGAAATAGAGCAGACACGGGGCAAGGGTGGGTCAAGATCCACCAGGGCTCGCAAAAGGCCAGGCTGAAGCTCGGGAAATACGTTCTGCTGAAATCTATGAATGGACAAGAATTCTGCAGCCTCGACAGAGGAAGCCTCGACTTGTGGTGGCAGCTGATGAATGGAGCGCACGCCAGCCTCTTGGCAGCGCCACCACAGCCCGGCTGTCATTTCCACTCCTCCTCCCTTTGACCCCCAGCCTTACGCAGTTGTCCGCATTGCTTGCCAGCTTGAATTGGAAACCAAACCCAGAAGCAGGCTCTGCTCCCTGTGTCTGCTGCAGCGCTCTTAGCTAGATGCTATAACCACTTGACCTGACGTCCCCTCCCAGCGGCCACCCTAGCTAGCATTTACCACCTACTCTCCGCTCAGCAATCAGGCAGTGTTTGAAGACACAAATCAGGTCTCTTGATGTCTCTATTCAGGATTCCCCTACGGCTTTAAATCTCACTGTTAGCAGAAAACCCAGCCTCTTTGCTTCCCTTAGAAGGTCCTATGTGATCAGTCCCTGGCCACGAACATGGTCCCACTTCTAGTACGTCTCCCAGCGCTCTGTGTTCCAGTTCCAAATCAGTCAACAAAGGTTTTGGGGTCTGATTCAAGGCTGTACACCCACAACTCCCTCTTCCCAGAATGCTTTGCCATTTTTCTGTACCTGGCTAAAGTCTTCTTGAGCTTTACCTGTCTCCTCCCAGAGATGTCTTTTCTGTCCTCATTGTCACTGCCTCCAGCATCCCGCATACCAGCCTGCTTTATTGTCTGCAAACCCTTCAAACTATCTGATAAATTCTCGCTCATTTTGATACTGTTGCTGCTTTAAGACAACGTAGTCCAGGCTGCCCTCAAATTTACTATGTAGCACAGGATAGCCTCAAACTGGCAGCAATCCTTTTACCTCAACCTCCTGGGTACCAGGCTTGCAGGCATGCACTGCACAACTGCCTCTGAATTCCCATTTAAGCATCTGCCCTCCTTTCTTGTGGTCCTGTCTCTTGAGTCTGAGGCGGCTGTTTTGGGGGTGTTATAGGCTTCTACCAGCATCCAAGGATTGACTTTGCCCTGAATTCTATTTCTCTTCGGAGGGAAATTCTGTCTCCTCCATGCTCTCCTTGTAGTTGTGGGGTGAGTTTCCTGGTGGTATCAGAGCACAGGGCCTTCTACAAGCTCTGACCCAGGGAGGAGTAGCCACAAGGGCCACCCCAGGAGAGGAATCCCTTCTAGCCACTCTATAGGCACCCCTCCTGACAGGCCAGGAAGTCTCCCCCACCCAGCATCCATCGACTCCCCTACCATCTGAGCTCTCAAGTGACCCCAGTGACCCTAATCCCCTCACAGGACTTATTTCTCTTCCTGCTGCCCCACCACAGAGGAAGCTAGGGGTCAAGAGTGTGGGGAAGGGGGTCAAGTTCATGCTCTTGATGCTGCAAGGCCAGAGTCAGCAAGAAAGGACTCTGAGCTAGCTGATAGCCAGGCCAGAGTGAAGGAAGAAACTCAGCCTTCTGGATGGCAAACTCAAAACTGGGAGAGAAGTCATCTGTGTGAAGTCACCTGGGGACTAGGTTCCTCCTGCTCCCTCCCCCACCCCCAGAGACCCAACTTCCTAGGCTTCCACCGCAGACTCCTCCACACAGGGATCCTAAGAAACCCCAAATTCCTGTTCCACTCCTACTTGCTCCCCAATCCTGGATGGTTGGGTTTCCTGAAGAGACTGTGGCCTGGGCGGTGGCCACTGCTGGCTTTGCTGGACGTACACATGCGGAGCAGACTGCTCTCCTCCATGGCCAGTTCAGTGGGTTCCTTGGTACAAATGTTGTTTCCTCGCTGAGACTCAGTTTCCCCATTTGAATAATGATGCCAAGGGTCCTTGTCAGTTTTGAGCTTTTCATTCTGTATTATTCATTTGGCTGGGAATAGCAGACTCCTATGTGTTTGTACACATGTGTGTGCACGCACGGATATGTGTGTGTGTGTGTGTGTGTGTGTGTGTGTGTGTGTGTGTGTGTGATTGTTAAGGGTGGGGGTAGGTTGAATGTTGAGCATCATTCCAGGCTCTAATCACTGTGGTCTTCCATGTTTTGTGTCAAAGTTCCCTAGAGGAAAAGAATCAATATATAGGATATATAGACACGCGCGCGCATGCGCACACACACAGTTTATTCGATCAACTTACACTGAAATAGTAACGACACTTGTCTCACGCCCGAGAGGCTGACAACCTGGTAGTCAGACCATGAGGCTGGATGCCTCAGCAGTTCCAATCTGATTCCCAGCCAGGGGTGGAAGCCTGGAAACACTGGTCCTGATGTCAGGGGAGGAGCCAACAACAGCAGCAATAGCATCATCATCATCGTCATTGTCAGCAGCAGCAGCAGCAGCGGAAACCCACTGGGCAGCAAGAGGAAAGGCCAAGCAGGCAATAGGCCAGTAATCGACCATCTGCATGTACCCGTTTTTATCTGGGCCGCTGTCAGTACCGCCCGTTCTCCCCAGACCCTATGAAGTCAGGTCTCCCAGACCCAAGGCCACCCTTCCCCAGGGTCAACTGACATTAAAACAGAGTCTACCATCCCCTGGAGATTGGACCATCGGCTCCAGTTCCTCCATCCTCAGAGAGGATGATCTAGGAGCTGGGACCACCCTGGGAGTGAGCTACAAAGTTGTGGTGGGCGCTGAGAGCCTGTTCTCAGGGGCACCAGAGAAGGGGTTAGAAACCCAGCAGGTTGAATTTCCAAAAACTGCCCTGGGATCAGGCGTATTTTCTCAGCCATCTGAGTGTGGTTTTAAATGGGAAACACAAGCCATCGAAGGCAGAGCCTGTTTGGATGCCCCTCCCCTCTCCCACCCCAGAACCCACCACCAAGCTTGCTTTCAGCAAGGCAAACATGTGATTATATTTATTTCACAGGCCTGGGAGGCCTGATTGTCATTGCCCCTCCTCCCTCCTGCTGGGGTCACATAGACCTGGGTTTTCCATCCATGGGTTTTTTTTTTCCTCTAGGAGTTGAGGGTGGTAAAGACTTGCAGAATAGAGGTGGAAGGAAATCAGAGTTTTAGAATGAGCTTTGGGTTACCCGAACTAATTAGGTGAACCCCAGTTGTCCTATCTGTAAGATGGAGGTGACCAGACCTCCTTCTGTGGTAACCAACCATCAACATGGTCCATGCCCTGTGTCCCCATTATAGAGGACTAATGTGTGTAACTAATAGCATGTTACAGAAATGCTATGTGACGCCTGAGGTTGGATCCTGAAATTGTGGCTTCCTCTTTGTTCAGTCCTAGGCCACTTCTGGGGAACGCAGCTGGCCTGGTATAAGGAAGCTCAGATGGCCTCTGTGCTAAGGGACTGAAGCCCAGAGGTTCTCAACCTGTGGGTTGCAACCCCTTTGGAGTGAAACGAGCCTTTCACAGGGGTCACCTTAGGCCATTCTGCATGCCAGATGAATTACATCATGATTCATATCACTAGCAAAATTACGGTTATGGAGTAGCAATGAAATTAACTTTATGGTTGGGGGGTCCCCACAACGTGAGGAACTGTATTTAACGGTTGAAGCATCAGGAGGGCTGAGAACCACTGTTCCAGCCATGTCAGCATCGAGGGTCCTCCCCATCTCACCCACAGGTGATGTCCCTTTGCAGCCTCTTTTTTTCAGTACTGAACTTGTACCTTGAACCTAGGCCCTCGTGAATGCTGGAGGAATGCTCTACCACTGTGCTCAACCCCAATCCTGTGATTACTATTTGTTTACTTGTCTTTGTGTCAGGGTCTCACTCTGTAGCCTTGACTGTCCTGGACTCTGTGTGGACCAGGCTGGCCTTGAGCTCACCTTCTTT